CACACCCACCCACCCACCCCACACACACACACCCACACACACACACACACACAGACAGAGACACACACACACACAGAGACAGACAGAGACAGAGACAGAGACAGAGACAGAGACAGAGACAGAGACAGACAGAGACAGAGACAGCGACAGAGACAGAGACAGAGACAGCGACAGCGACAGAGACAGAGACATAGACACACAGACACAAGCAGACACAGACAGACACAAGCAGACACAGACAGAAACAGACAGACACAGACAGACACACAGACACAGACAGAACACACACACACAACACACACACAACACACACACAACACACACACACACAACACACACACACACGCACACACACACACAAAAGCACGCACACACACACACAAAGACACACACACACACAAAGACAGACATATGCACACACACACAAAGACACGCACACACACACACAAAGACACACACCCACACGCACAGACACACAGACACACAGACACACAGACACGCAGACACGCAAACACGCAGACACACACACACACACGACTCACACACACACACAGAGACACAGAGACACAGAGACACACAGACACACAGACACACAGACACACACACACACACACGAACGAACACGAACGAGGCCCCTGAAGCGGTCCCAGGTGCATCCGCAACAGAGGATTCCCTGACCGTTCGGCACCACACGGAGGGCATCTGGGTCCGCCCTCAGAGCCGAATTTCGTCAGAGGGTTTAAGGCTCAACTTAGGTGTGGTGTTCGTAGGGTTAGTTAAACAGCTTTAGATTGAAGCTCGCCAGCTTCATTCTGCGAATGGGAAGTTCTTGTGCTCGGCGGGGGTTGTGGCTTTGTAACTTCATGGCTCCGGATTTCGGTTCACATGTAGCCGGGATGGACTGGTGGCTTGCCTTTGAAGGACACTGATAACCCCATTTGCCTGGGGATAACCCCACTTGCCTGGATGCTAACCTCCCTAAACCCTAAAATCCCTAGAACCTTGCTAGAGGGGCCTTAACAATTGGGGTTTTGGGGTATAATATCCTATATCTATAATAGGAAATCCCCAAAATATTGTTGATAATCAAATCGGCCCCTATATGCCCTATATTACCCCTTGAACCCCAAAGCAGCCCGGATGTCGGGCTCAAGGATTTCTGAGCACTAAATAAAGGGGGTTTAGGGTTTAGGGCGCTTAGGTTTCAGTAACCTGAACCCGGAGCCAGAAGCCCTCGAAGCCCTCGAAGCCCTAAGCACTAAACTTTTCCCGTGACGACTGCAGCTTCCGAGGGCTGCACGTGCTGCCAGGCTGGAAGTTCATGGAATCGAGGGTGTGCTGGACGATGGCCAGCTTCGACTGAGTAGCCTGGGGCGTAGGCTTCGAGGTTCACCCATCGGGTTTCGGATTCTCCGGCTGTCGTTGACTCGACGCTTGCCGGTCTAGTGGTTGTTGGGGAGGGCTTCGAGCCTAGTTGAGTCCTCAAGGTGAGGTGGTGTTAGGTGCCTGTGGCTTGGGCTTTCAACCGCACATTCCAGGCATTCGGAGTTTTGCATAGCTTATTCGGGTCTTCAGCACTCGGCAGGATTCGGAGTGGTTCACCTCTTTTGCTGGGCCACTGGGAGAGGACAAAGAACGTTGGAAATAGCGCAGAACACGTAAGGGTTTAAGGCGTAGGGCCAGTTGTGTTTCCGGCCTTTGGGCCTCGAACTGTTCATCAGGGTCCTTGTAGGGGAACAAAAACGGGTCCCTGTGCACCCGCCCTCTCTCCCTACCCAGTCCTTGAGCTGCTTGGCGAGCTCTTCCTCGCAGCTTCAGAAGCGAAGTTAAGTTTAGGGTAGCAGATGTTGGCTTCGACTCAACAACGCTCAGGCACAAATCGGTGTGTAGTTGTGTGGTGTCGAAACAGTTCATACCATGGTATCTTTGTGTCCTGAGGTTCCAGGCTTACGGTTGAGGACTTCTGCGTCACGGTTGAATGGTAGCTGTGCTTCCGCAGAACTTACGTAAACGAGATAGAGCACGTCCTGGTGCAAGGCTTTTCAGGCTGATGGGCTTGAGCTTTTGTGTTGGAGACTGCCCGTAGCCAAAGCCCAAGAAGCCCTCACCGAAACTTCCAAGAAGCTGCTGCAAACGCACGCAGCAGAATGACCAGGCTCCGCACATATCCGTTCAGAATCCGGAGTGCACTATCGGAAAAAAAAACGCACCAAACAGTATCGTCTATCAGTCTGGGCCTGAGTCTGCATGTTTGCTGCTGGACGTCTCTATGCATGCTCCCGGCCTTCCTGCTAAACCATACATCCCTAGACCGAGCTAGCCGCAGAGCTGTGGCTTTGGGAAGACCTTTGATGACGGCCTCTAATCCCGAAACCCTAAAACCCCAAAACACAGAAATGCATGTCCAAACCATGTATGCGGAAATTTGAGACGCCTCTGCCAAAGAGAGGGAGGGAGGGTGTGTGTGTGTGTGTGTGTAAACCCCAACACCACACGATACCTTGCAAGCCTACACAACGCCTCAAGACCTTTCCGCGAGTAGAGGTTGAACCCGAAGCTTGGCGAGCACATCACACAACTGACGGTGTCGCTTCTGGGGGGCCTATCGTGTTGCCATGCGAATGGGTCGAGAGAGAGAGAGAGAGAGAGAGAGAGAGATGGAGATGGAGATGCACTGTTTAGTGCTGTTGTGAGAACCCCAAAAGCTTCTGCACTTTGTATTGGCGAGCTCAGTCTAGGCATCAAGCCCGATCCCTAGGTTCGCTAAGCCTTGGACATGGACCTGAGACCATAAACGCTCTCCCTTTCTGTCGGTCCGTGTCGTTGTCGTATTTGTCCTGCAGTTCGACAACCTGGTCTTGCACCTGCAGCATTCGTGCATGCTGACGGCTTGGACATTTGGCACGGTTCAATGTTCTTACCTCTACATGCTACATACGGGAAGATGTGGCCGGGCTGCAGCCGTGTTTCGGGAAAGTAGGACCTTGATCTCTCACGCAGAATGAATGGAGCTGGAGATCAAAAATGCATACACTCAGCATCCACAAAGCCTTGCCTTCGTGAGCATGCAGGCACACGTAACAGGATTCAAGCCCCAAGCCCTACAGCCTAGCCGTTAAACCCTAACTCTGGGATGTCCTGGTGGGTGTGGGGAAGTTTAGGGTTTTCGGTCCCTTGGGAAGACAGGGAGCTTACGGAGAGCTAAGCAGCAGCCTCAGCTGCAAGTGCTGCTATTCGAGGGCCTGGACGGCAGTTTGACAGGTCTAGCACCTGTCTGGGTGGAAAGTGCTGAAGGCATTCTTAAACCGTTTTCTGAAATGGCACATGGAGGGGGATGCATGCGCAGGCAGCTTTGCGAGGAAAGAATAGGGCTGCAGCCGAACCGCGACACTTGATTCTGATTCATTTACACGACCGTTCTGCCGTGTATGCGAGGTGGGGCTCTGTAATGCCCCCGTGTAAAAGTCCTTAACGTCGTTGTCGCTTTTTCCTCGTGTAGTGTTCCATGAAACTTGTGCTGTCGTTTTGTTGTAGTTTTGATTTCTGCTGATCGTTTTACCATGGAAAACCATCCACAACCGAACTGGGACATGCCAAGCCTAAACCTCAAGGCGCGGGGTTATTCTACAATACCAAGTGTCCAACACATCCGCGAAACCTGATCAGCGACATTTCCCGAGAAATTCCGGTGCCCATAAGCCTAAAGCCCGGAGTTCTCCCAGCCCAGAGCGACATGAACTTGTTAGGAAGACCCCAATACCGCGAAAACAATGCCGCGAAAACCCAAAGAACCACCGTCCAACCCCCGCAAAGATGCCTAAACAAAAACCCCAAACCCGAGACTAACATGGAAAACCCAACACAGTATGAGTATTAGGTATTAGGCCCTGGCCCTATACACATGCCCTACGCCCTGCGGGTTCTGGGCCTCCTTGAGCCTCCTCTGCCACTCTTCCTGAAGCATCGCGAAAGGCTTCGGATCTCCCCCCCCCCCCCCCCCCCNNAAGCCCCAAACCCAAATCCTACACCCTCAACAACAACCCAAGATCTTGAGTTAAGACAATCGGCCCCCGAACATTTGAAGCCGGCAACTGTAGAAGTCCAGAGCCAAGAACTGAGGGTTCGGGTATCTGACCTGACCTTTGTAAGGGTCCCTCCTCCACCTATCCCTGGCAACATCTATGTATGCGTGTGTCTCTTTGTGTGTGTTCCCTATGTGTTTTCAATAGGTTCCTTACAATTGCGTGCGCTAGACCCCATCGCTGCAGTCTGCTGGCGGGCGCGATCTAACACCTTTTCAGGACAGCATGCCCTCGAACAGCCACACCGAAGAACCCGAAACTCGCATCATATCCCGAGGCTCAAGTACGGAAGCCCAATAGCCTCAACCGATGGACAATCCGTCACCAAACTTTATCCTACCCCCGAATTCAGTTCCAAAAGCTTAAACCCTAAAATAACCCTAAAACCTAAACCCCATACCCCGAATCCCTAAATCCCTAAACCCCTCGATCCTCAAACAAACCCTAAACCCCAAATTCGACTCAACACGCTAAATCCCTAAGCACTAAACCTCACAGCGAGATCCTCGTAAGCTTTGGCGGCCGCTTTCTTCTTGGCAATGGAGTCTTCATCTAGGCCGGCTTCCTTGGAGGTGTTTGAATGTAGTGCTTCGGGGTCAGCGTTTGCGGATTAGGGTTTGGGGGTTCAGGGGGTAGGTTTTGGGAAGGGTGTTTGTGTGGTTTAGCTAGGATTTCAAATTCACGGCCTTCAGGAGCTGCGGGGATTGCTGCGCTTCCCTAAAACCTTTAGGGCAACCGTAAACCTTATGTCTGTCTGCAGCTGTGGCTTCAATCTTGATGTACTCGTACTGAGCCGCGAGTTCCTCGCACCTGCACATAAAGTCAACCCGACTCTTTGGCTCCAAAGCTGCATAAACACCAAACTCCTCCGCTTCAATGCTTTCCGAGACAAGCATCGACAACATCTAAACCACCAGCTGTTCCGAGCCACGTTTACGAGGAAGTCATGGCAGAAAGCGACAGCAACAAGGATGCATATCTCTGCAGCACTTTTCGGGTTGGGATTGCTTGATCTTTGCAGCACTGTTGCTGTCAAGCCAATCATCGGCCATGAAGGCAAGACAGCTTCCTTAAAGACATACTGCCGCCATTGAAGCATCTGCAAGCCTAGCAGCAGGATTAAGCCAGCTTGGGGGTGAGTTCCGGCTTGGTGGGACTTGAGGCCTGGATCTTGTGTTTGCGCCCGTGTTGCTATGACCCAACCCCTCAATCTCCGAGCTTCTTGGGGATAAACGGATAAACCTCTCAAACTTGTCCGCGCAAACCAGGACAGAAAACCACCATTCCACCAGCCACAACTTGCCATGGAGGTTTCGGGAGCAGCATACAGGTCTCGAGGAAATTATACAGAACCCAGACCACTTGGAGGAGTCATAACAACTCCTGGAAAATGAAACTGCCCGAAACCCTGCCCTAAACCACTAAAGCTTCAACCTGACACCCAAACCTTTGCTTCAGAGCGAAAGACACCTCGGGGTGACTTCCCCAGCCCGCCTGCTTCGGAGCTCGTCACGCTCGGTTGTGACCTCCACCAACTGCGGCTCCAGGAATTCATTGCCTCAATTTCGGGCTTAGACTTTTGGGTTTAAAGTGGTTAGGGATGTACAGTGTGTATCAGTGTGTAGGGTTTCAAGCTCTTGTCTTGAGTGAGGTTGGGTATACTGTCGGTTGCGTTACGTTCAGAATGAATGCGCTCTTTCGTGTTGTAGATGTGCGGTTTCAGGTTGTCGTTGAGGATCAAAGTCGGTATGATCTCGGGGCAATGCTTCTCTGGATTTAGGGGTTTGGCGGCTTTGACTAGAAGATTTAGGGTTGTGCTACCGTACCGGGTTTGTCCAGGTCCAGGATAAAGGTGGAGTTGGACTTGCATACGATCTCCTTCTCCACAAAGACATGTGAGATGTCCGTGACGAAACCGACAACTTCGACCAGGATTTTCAAGACACGCAGCAGTGAAAAGATAACATGTAAAACGTACATGCAACATGTTCCCCATGTTTTGCATCCTCATCTACACTCACAGCGCTTGTTGTGCCGCAACTCGGTAGCCCTGAAGTAACTTCTGTGAGAACGGAGAACTGAAATCCTTGCGTGCAAGGGCTTTGAGTTTAGGCGTGTCGGGGCTTGGGAGATAATAAAATAAAGTATAACATAATGCAATGTGATAAATGAAATATACAAATAAAGTGCATTGTAGCACAGTGTAGCATAACATTGGTATGGCAAGGCATAGGTTCCGCACGCTCAGTGGCTGCAGTGAGAGCTTCCGTCGTCTCCTGAGGAAAATGTTGGCGGAATTCAAACTGAAGTGGCTGACCAAAACTTGACAATTATCGGACCAGACCAGAAAACTTCCTGAACATAGGGCAAGACTATGTCCACGCAAGCCTATGAACATCTCGGTGATCCAGCTACAGCAACCTCTGAAGAGACCACATCAATCCCAAAAGCATACTGTAGGAGCATTACCAATACCATTTTGGGGGTTCCACAATATAATAATAGTATAATATTATTACGGCCCCTATATTACTAAAGCAAAAGCCAGAATCTGTTCAACAATCCCGGAGCAGAGAACCTTACTCGTGCCAAGGCCCCAAACCCCGAGAACCCCAAAACCCCACAGAAACACGCCGGAGACCTTGAGCTTTCAACCCGAAAACCTGAAACTCCTTATGAGCCCCTGAAGATATCCGCCAAGATACTCCAGAAACGCCCGAAACGCGAATTACCGTGAGCCATAATCCCTAGCTCCGGCACGCAACACCAAAAAATCAGATTCCCAGTGCCCCGACTCCTTCAACAAAAAGTGTAGACCCTGAACCTAAACCCGCTTAACACTGAGTTCCGAGTTCCTGCAGCTTCTGCCGTGTCCGCCCGAGCTCGTTTTCGAGGACCACGGCCGGATGGATGGCAGACCAAGCTCGAAGAGCCTGGCCCGGTTTTTCTTGGGTTTAGAGTTTAGGGCAGCATTTTAAATAGGGGTTGAAGGGTTTAGTTGTGGGGTGTCGCGTTCAGGTGTTGGGGGCACTACCCTAAATCCTAAACCCTGAACCTAGCTGCCAGGTTCGCGTCTAGGAAATGTCGGTTCTCTGGACGACGTGCCGCGTCAAGCCGGCGTCTTGCTGCATTCAAACCTTCCGCCCCGCTTCTCAACCGATGAACCGTTGTGAGGTTCAGAGTTCACGGCTCGGTCTACAGTTGCCAAGAATCAGCGCCTAGTTCTGGAAACATGCTACTTGGCCTTGATTCGGTAGAAGCCAACTCAACATCACTGGCAGCATATTGCTCGTATTCTTCGTGAACACCGCATCCGAGAACGACATGCAGAAAACCACAGGTCATCGGAATGTCTGTACGAGACTTCCACATAAAGCACAGTGGGCTTGCGGGGGCAAACTTCCAAATATAGCCATGCCCTGCTCATAGAAGAGAAGGGTCAGCCCCGCTGCTCTCTAAGCATCGGGTGTCTTCCAGGAGAACGGCTTGGGAGATAGAAACTTGCTGGATGTGTGCATGAGAACGGTCGAAAGAATAGAACCTTCTAATGCCATAGAAGACCATCAAACTGAACCCTAAACCTGTTGCTCTAAGCCCTATAAGCCCTAAAATTCTTCCATGGCCAAAAGTCTTTAGCTGTTGTAGACTTCATCCCTAAACCAGAGTTCAGCTGTAATCAAAAGCCTTTACTTCTTGAAAGCCCTAAGCCCTATGCCGATCTAGTTGGTCAGAGATCCACTAAAGCCGATGGCTAACATGAGTCCTAAGCCCCATGAAAGAAGCCAAACCCGAAATCTCAGCAGTCACATTGAATTGTAAGCCCTACAACGTCAGTTTCGTAAAAGAGCACCGAAGTCTGATCAACATAAGCCCTGCCCTGCACTCCAAACCCTTTAGACACATCAACCCCAAACCCGGAAAACCACAACATCTGGCCCACAAACCCTAGAACCAGTCCTGTTCCAATTACCAGGGTATTGCTCCTACCCTGCTACACCCTGAAACCCTAAACACCTAAACCCTTCAACCCCTAACCCTAAACCCTCCGAAGCCTTGAGCCCTTCCGAATTCGAGCCCTCTCTGCTGAGCAGCAGACGTGACCGTGAGCAAAAGGGAAGACTTTTGAGCTCATGGCGCTCTCCTTGAAGCTTTTGAGTTTAGAAGTTTAGGGGCTATAAGGGTGCCTGTTTTAGGGTGGGATTTAGGGTGGAAGAATTTTTCAGGTTTCTGCACGGATGCGTAGAAGGCTTGGAAGGGCTTGTGCAGGGTTTTGTGAAGGTGTTCGGGTCTTGGACTTAGGGGGTTTAGGTCTTTCGGGATTAGAGCTTTGGGGGCCTGGTCTGCTGCGGTTTTGAATTTTGGACATCAAGACGAGCTCCACAAACTCCAGAATTCAGAGTGCTCAATGCCTTCGGCATGTTGAGTCGTAGAGACTTCACTTGGATTCTATTCCAGATTTAAGTGCTGAGCGACCATGGACAAAATGAGCCGACAAAATCTTTTGTGCTGGACGCCAACAACTTCTGCGACGCAAAGGGTCCAAGCAATCGCATTGCGAGGCTGTCCCGCAGGATAAGCAGAACCCCTTCCATTTGGCATTCTAGACTCCCTAAACCCCTAAGCCCTAAACCCTAAGCATCGTAGATTCTCCCAAAGTCCCGAATGCGGAAGCCAGGTTGAGCGCATCGAATGAGTCGAAAACCGTACAAGCCCTTCAGTCTTGTCCTGTCATCCACAGCCCGGGGCCGTGCAAACCATTCAAAGCTTGACCTTCTTCCCATCGTCCTATTCTATCATGGTTCAATGCAATAAGAATAGATCCCGAAACAGGTTTGTTCCGTGCTTTACAACATGAAGTGGTCACATACTTGCTTTCGGGCTTTTTTTGCTTGACGATTAGCTGCACATCCCTTTTGGGTGGACCACTGTTGTTGCGACGACGACTGCCACCACTACCACCGCCACTACCACTACCACTACACTGCCACGGCCACGGCCACGGCCACGGCAGCTGCCACTGCCACTACCACCACTACCACCCTTTGCTGCTGGTACTGCTACTGCTGCTGCAACTGCGGCTACGAACACGAACACGACGACGACTACACGAAAATCCTGAACCCAAGAAACTGAACCCTATGAGTCTTCTACACATTACAAGCTCTGAACCCAAACCTTCAAGGCCCCTCGTGCTTAAACCCTTGCAGTCTCACTGTTCTGAGCAGGTAAGCTCGACGTCTTCCGAGGCCGGAACTAATCGAAGATGGGCCGCCTGTATTAGCTTCGCCGTCTTTTGGTTCACGTTGGCCTGCAGCATGTTGCCAGCGTACTTGGAACCCCCACCCCCGGCAAAAGCCGTTTGAAGAGGGTTTGTAAACAGTTCTCGACCCCCCTGATCAAGCCAGAAAAAATGGTTGAACGAACCTGCTTTAAACTAACTAAGAGACTTTATCAACAACCGAAAAATATTTTTATAAACATCTATTTGTACTCATATTTCCTCAAGCAGCAAGAACAAACAAAATAAACATAAAACCCGCGAATTCAGAGGCACCTCGATGAACAAACTGCACATTAGCCAGAAAACTTGAGGCATCCTTTAGAATCTCAGGGTCGGGGGTGGCGGGGTCTGAGTTGGTTGATGAAATGGTTTAGGAGATTTGCAGACACTTGCCTTCCTTTCTCTCTCGAAGGCTGAGGGGCTTTCGGGCCTAGGAATGAACGCTCCCCGTGCAAGTACATGCTAGCTTTATAAGTATCTTTTCAGGATGTTGCACGGTCTTACCTTGCAAGTTGGTGATAGACTTTCACATCCTCGCTGGGTGGGTTTCTCGTGGAATGCAGATCGGAACGTACAGGCTTAGTCCTGTCTCTACACTGTTGGGCTTCGTAGGGTCTGGATCACGGGATCCAGCAGATTAGGATACTAGTTGCTGGGCCCTGGCAGAAAAGGTTACCGGTTGACAGGTGAAACACGGCAGGATATTGTCTACATGTCTGTCTGTCTGTCTGTCTGTCTGTCTGTATGTATGCATATTCATATGCACACACATACATCTGCATACATACCGAAAAGGTTTAACACGGGTTACCAGCCGGCCGAGAACTCGGGGCTTGAGTAAGGTTAAGGCCTAAATGTCTGAATGTTAGCTGTATTCGCACTCGAAAACTTTGTCACGGCACAAGTCCTCAAGTTTCATGGCAACCCTTCACCCACACCCTAAACCATCAATATGCTCAGGGCCCTCCTGATGGAGGCTGCTTTAGATCCCAGTGCAAACGGTGGCAAACACAACCAAAGTCGATAGACGACCCAGTCGCGTTCTCACTCAAGAAATCAGGGTCTAAAGCTGTCTCCAGCTCAAAGACACACCTTCCCCTCCCTTGCCCAAAGAAAAGACGCAATTTCAGGATGTCAGGCTTTGACTCTATCAGAATCAAGGGTGCCCAAGTTGTTCATAATGAAGGGTGAGAGATCTGTAGGGATGTAGAGATGATCCTCTGACCCGAGGTCCTACAATTGCGCAGCAAATTAAACCCCTAACCCGCCTGGAGAGCTGCTGAGTGATCGCGCTCTTTGCGAAGTTCCTCCTCGAGAGCTTCCACCTCTTCAGGGCTTAGAGACAAAGGTTGAGGTTGAGGTTTCAAGCTAGACAGTGTTGAGGGCTTACCACCACACATCATCACGGTAAGTCGTGGCCGACTCTATTTAGCAGCAAAAAGGCCTATATATGTTTGGTACAGCTGGGGAGCTGTGGTGCCCTGGAAGACCGGTGCCTCTCGGCGACGCCGGGCTTCGGCAGCTTCGAGCTGCCTTTCGTAGTCCGCCTGTGGGCACGGAAGGGCCCCCTCGGGATTCACTGGGTCTTGGATTTGATATGTTTTGATAGTGCCACAAACCACTGGCTTGATTGAATTCACTTAGGTTCATAGGTTTTATAAGGGCTCATAGGGTTGTTGTAAGGGTTTTGCGTGCGTGCCTTTCTGGCTACTGGGTTTAGGGATTCAGGAATCGGACTTCAAGGGGTTTCTCTCAGGGGTGTGGAGATTGCGTTTTCGGATTCGTCGGGCTTAGGGCCGCTTAGGGGGTCAAGCGTTCAACGCGGCTAAGGTTTGAGGGTTAAGTTTGAAGCCTCCCGGCTTAAGTTCGGCTCATTTCGGGTCTAAACGGTTCAAGGCTTGAGGTTGGTTCGGCGGAGAATTGCGTTTCGGAAGTGTAAGCTTAGAGGTGACGAACATCCAAGTTTGTCAAGTGTGGGATTCTTATGGCTCGTGTAGAGGGCGCTAACACTACAACCCTACACCCCAAAATGTTCTTGAATGGGACAGCACTTGTGTGAAGTCGTGTGGGCCTCCGAAACACGGCTTGCTTCTTCCTGAGGCCTCCATGACGGCTTTTGCATATGTCGGGGGATTGTGGAGCATCGGATTTTCGAGGGCGAGGAGCTGTTGGGGTTAGGAGGGAGGTCGGGTGGTGGGGGTAGTTGAGGATTTAAGTGCTTGCTTCTCGGCCTTGCACAGTAACGGATGCAGGTCCAAAACAACGAAGTAGTGTAGGGGCCGTAAAAGCCTTAATAATCAAAATAGGGTTTGGGGCTTCTCTTTTGTATATTCATAATCAGAAACCCTCAGAATAATATTGGTAATTATTTAGGCTTCTACATTACACCCGAAACGCCACTGAATTGTGCCGGGAAGCCTTGATGACGTATTTCTTCCACTCGTTCATGAGGATAAGCATCTGATCCGCATCTTGTCTCCTGGCGATCAAAATCCTCAATGAATCCGACAAACGATCTGAAACCCTAAACCCTGTACGGCACATTGGAGTCTTAGGGTTTGGAGCCATGACCACGGCTTGAGGCGTAAAACATCCTGAGCCTTGGAACTTGAAGGTTTCTTAACATGAACATTGGCAATTGGGGATCTTTGAGCAGGAATCTGTTTGGCACTGCGCATTGCCAGCTTAGGGTTAAGAGGTTTGGAGTTCGATGTTTGGGGGGATGACCGTGGGCTTGCCGTTCGAGGATAGGCTCTGGGAGTTGCGGTTTGGAGTGGAACTCTTCGAAGTTGAGAAGTAATTAGGGGGTTAGAGGTGAGTGTCTCGAACTTGCTTTGGGCATACATGAGCCCACAGCCCTGAAGCTCTACATCAAGACTATAACCGTATAACCCAAGACCCGAGAACCGCAAGGGCTTTTTTTTGAAGATCTATTAAAGAACCCAAAGGCTTCAAGGTTGAGTATTGATCGGAGAGGCCTACATGGTCACAGAGTAGGATTGCTCTATAGTCTCATAAAGCTCACCTTGAAGACCTCGTCACTAAACCCAGACCTCAGAGCCGAAACCCTATCTAAAAATGGACCGTTTATAGATTTATAGCTAAACCCCTAGTCTTTAAGGTCGAGCTTGTGTGTGAAAGGGCCGGTTCGGGGATTTGGGGTCAGCATGTAATGGTTGCGGCTTACGAAGGATTTTCAAGCCTTGGGCAAAGAAATGGGGACTCTTGTCGCAGGTTCGAAGGCTTAAGCATATGGCTCGAGTGTTTTAGGTTACAGTTTTGGGGTGGTCGGTGCGGGATCATGAACTTTACAGTTTGCTCAGGCTTAGGGGTAGGCGGTTAGGGCTTCAGGGATTCGGGTTTAGGAGTCTCCTTTACTGTCAATTTCAAATTTCAGCGGAAGGATTGCTGTAAATCTGCTGTCCCGCAAGAATCGTTGAGGGTCGAGCTCCTAAACATAAGATTTTCAATTTAACATCCTCATAAGGGGGCAGGTTTGACCAATCATTTATGTCTATGTGCTAGCTTGGTCCTGAAAGACGGGACGGCCCACTACCCTGGACATACATTGTCCCGATGGTGGACGGGCAATTCTTGCTTCTGTCAGAAGTTGCGGTCCTTGCGTGGTCCGTTTAGATCAACCGCTCAAACAAAGGACGCGGAAAGCCGCGAACAAGATGGAAAAGACAAAAAGGTGTTGCTGCAGCGGGTAACTAAGCTTCCGAGCCTGCAAAGAACTATTGCTCGGGCTCAGCAGCCCTCATAAACGCAAAACTGTGCATCCCTTCACCCAGTGCAGCGCAACAAGCTTCCAAGCCGGGTTCGACCAGACTTCCAGGGCAAAAAGCAGACGGACAAGGCTTCAATGATGTCTGTCCTGTTGAGCTTCACAACTGCGGGGCAGTCATCCTGTGTGACTTAGCAACACCGAGCATGCTCCGACACGCACGCCCAAACAGCAAGCTCCAGCATCGAGACCACAAGCTCCAGCACCAGCGTCACGGCATCAGTCGGGGAAAGAAGACGGACAAAGTTCTCATCAAAGATGTCAGTCCTGTTGAGCTTGATACTGGAGGATCACCCTCTGTGTTTTTGACAACACCCACTAAATGCTCCGACACACACACACACACGCCCAAACAGCAAGCTCCAGCATCGAGACCACAAGCTCCAGCACCAGCGTCCCGAGAGCAAGATCCAGCATCGAGACCACAAGCTCCAGCACCTGCGTCACAGCATCAGTCGGGGAAAGAAGACAGACAAAGTTCTCATCAAGGATGTCAGTCCTGTTGAGCTTGATACTGGAGGATCATCCTCTGTGACTTTGGCAGCCCAGAAATCTCCGACACACACGCCCAACAGCAAGATCCAGCATCGAGACCACAAGCTCCAGCACCAGCGTCACAGCATCAATCGGGGAGAGAAGATACACATCAAGGATGTCAGTTCTGTTGAGCTGGCTTGGCAACACCCCGGCATGTCCGTCACACGTGTGGATCCCTAACGACGGCTCGAAGGCACTTCGGTGGCACCCGTGTAAGATCAACAGGGGGGTTTAAGCCTCCGAGCTTTCGAGTTGCCGGCTGCCGTGCAAAGCCCTTGGAAAATCCTTTGCGAGCCTGCAACTGTTTGGCCCTAGGAAACAAAAGGTTCTGCTTTCGTAGTAGTACTAATTACTTTACAAGAGCCCAATCAGCTTGACGGTTGGGGAAAGCAGAACGAGGCAACTAAAGAAACCAGAATGGTAGTATATATTACGAGAGACCAGCAACGAAGGAAGCCTCGAGCCTCCGAGTTCAGAGTCGAACAGCCGCGAAAAACCGCTCCGAAGCTTCGTGTTCAAAGTGCCGGGGCGACTTGTGAAGCTCTTTCTCCACGTTGACCAGCCTTGGCTTAGTTTCTCTTTTTTTGAGGCCCTAGAAAGGCTTTAGGGTTTGGGATTCTGCATTTGGGAGTTTGGGGGTTTGTAGTTCCCTGTTTCGTTACCTTGGTTTCATTCTGGGATCCCAGCCATATAGAGTTGGTTGACTCAAGGTGCTACAACGGAGACTACAGGTCCTCGCAGAGTACATCCTTCCGAGTGTGCTGTAGAGCAGATGCTGAGCCAAGCCACAAAGCCAAGAGAACCCCGAGCCCTGAAGCCTCAGGGAGTAGAGTGTAGGGCGCAGGGCTTTGTCGTTTTACGAGTCGGGTTTCAATTTTGGGTATGACGGTTTTGGGTTTAGGATGAATGGAGTTTGGTTTAGGGTTTGGCGTCAGTTGCGGTTTGCGGCTTGCAGCCAGCGGTTTTGGGACAAGGGTTCAGCGTTCATGTTCTCAGGTTTAGGGTGAAAGTATAGGTTAGGGGGTTCAAGGCAATCCTTCAGAAAGGGTTGAGGAAGATCTTGAGGAGCTGGAGTGGTATCTTGCGCCATGAGTTCCAAAGACCAAGGCGGTCATGGCACACGGTCACGAGAACGCTCCGCGGCGCAGGCGGAGTCCGTATACCACAGTCATACCCTAAACCTTAATCCCTAAACCCCCCTTCATAAAGCGCCTTGTGCATGTCTGAGTCTCTGACATCAAGGCCCTCCGCCGCTTGAAGATGGCGATGGTCTCGCGGAGATTTCGAGCATCCTGGGAGTCGCTACAGTTCGCGGCGTTCAATGTTTCACGTATGGCTTCCACAGTCTACTGCAGTATATTTGTTTAACATGGACTTCGGTAAGGTTTCTACGAAGGAATAAGTGCTTAGATGTTTCCGGTGTCAGGGCTTTGCAGCGTTTTAGGTTTATGGATTGAGGGTTTAGGGCTGGGGGCATCCGAGTCCGTATTTTCGGGCTTTAGTCTGGATTCGATGACTGTTTCATTTCTTTGCAGTTAGGGTTGTGGTTTCCAAGGCGCTCGACCCCTTGTATTGGGTGCCTCGAACTTGTTACAGTGGCAACACGTGCCTAAACACTGGATCTTCTCGATCAGATGAACCAGAGTTTATGATTTGTGACTGGGGCTTTAATTGATTGCATACAGGGCCCTAGAAACTACCAATGGGAAACTGAGGTCGCTGTGCGTACGGCCAAGATCTGCAGGCTTTAGACGAGGGGCGGCGGGCAGGGCCCAAACGCCTAGAAGCACAACGTAATCTACTATAACCTGCTGCAGTGCCTTTCAAAGCTGTGGGTCGTAGTTTGAGCCGTAGTTCGTGAACTCACGGCAGGTGCGGTTATCGTAGGCCAGGTTGAAACCTCAGGGACCCACCCATGAGCCCTTACCTAATTTACTCAAAACCAAAGCTTGATACTATTCGCGGAGTGATGCATCCTGTTGTGTCTCGGGATTCCTTGCAGATCGTCCCCACTCCGCCTAGCTTTTGGATTGCTCTCTGGGCGCCCGAAACGAAAAGAGATCCACGGATTCAAGGAGCTGGTGTCAAGAGTTGGGGCTTTACTGCTTACCTTGAGCGTGGGCTTTAAGTATTGAAGGCACAGTGGGTTTCGGGTTTAAGGACTTGACACGGGAAGGAAATACTTGGCTATCTTCGGTTCTGTTGTTCAGGGTACTTCTTGGGGGCCCCTAAACCCCTAAACCCTGAAATCCTAAACCCTGAGCATCCGACCAGCAGCGAGGCTATGAGCCCACCCTCTCGGTCAGAGCTCACGAAGCTGGAACGCTCGAGATCCTGGGTCTCCAGTTTAGGGTTGAGGGCCTTAGGTTTTGCTGTTAACTGATTGAAGGGGTTGGGGTTTAGGGCTTGGGGGGGCTTTTGGGAGATTGATCTTGAGAGTGTTGAAGGTTTCATGTTGAAGGTCTAGTGGCGAACAGGGTCTAGGGATTTGCGGTCAGATGGTTCAGGGCTTAGGGTTTGGGGCTTTAACGTGTAGATATAGGTGCCCGAGCATTCGTGTATGCCTATGTTCGCACTGCTACATCTGCTGTTGCCGACTTGCCTATGCCTATCGCCCTCCGTCTACATGTATCCTTATCTGAACATCTATGCTTCTATGATAATTACATGCACCCTCCAAACGGGCCGTTGATCCTCACATTCCACAGTGGGCCTTATAGGTGTTGCGCGCAGTGCCAAGACCTAAACCCCAGTCGAAACGGGAAGTCTGAGCGGCCAATGTTTGATTGGGAGTTCCAGCCTCGAAAATCCACAAACAATCGCAGAAGTTTGACTGCAGATGCCCTCATGGTCATACCCTAGACATCCCTAAACCATTTACCCGAAGGCACGTTCGGGAAGATTAACATGACTTGACAGCATCTCTCACATCCACAGCATTGAAGACATTACCTCCACACCTCCGCAGCACAGCCAAGAAAGTTGCATTATGATTACAAGAGAAGGATGACTAGACCTGGCATTCCCTACTTTAAAGGTGATTTTCTTGAAGCCTCACGTCGTAAACCCGCAATCCTGCACTCAGCTTCGCCAAGGAAGCCCAAAACCCTCTCACAGCATGGATTCAGGGATCTCTTCATACCGAAAAAGCCTGCTGGATATCAAACCGAAATGCCAAGCCCCTGAAGGCCAGATCCGGGAACACTTGTGCGTTGCTACCCGGCCACCTGCAGAAGTCGGTCGTTCTCGATCCGTGCCTCGAGCGCTTGGCACAGTCAAGTTCGGGGGCGCAGGGTTTAGAATGCCAGGGTTTCGCAAGGGCTTTGTGCAGACCATGCTGGGCTTCTCCATCTAACGAGACGGCTCAAACCCTGCAGAGATAATGGCGATGGAGGCGATTGTTCGTTCCTATGCTCTCCGCTGTCCGTATTCGCAACTGAGTATGGCTGCAGACCCTGTGGCCAATACTTGTGCCGATAATCAGTCTCTCCGCCAGTGCCGTGGCTATTTCTTGGACTTTCATGATTGAGTAACCCAATACTACTAGAAAGTGCAGGGCTACTTGTCTGACGGCAAAGGCGAACATCATGATCATCCTCTCCACTCACCACGATGGTCAAAGCGGCGAGAAAGATTTTGTGATGATAGCGACTATCAACCAAAGCCAAAATGCCAACAACAGTTTGGACAAGCAGCAGCAACACCACACACCTTACCAACCCTGCTTATCACCAACAACGAACATAGATAACAGTCGCAATGAACCAAACTTGACAAAAGCCCTAAATCCTAGCCCTACCCTCTTCCCTGTCCCACGCGAGACAAGGCACACCACAAGATCATACACATGGGTAGTTCTCGAAATTAGGGTCCTTTTTAGATCTCAAATATAGTACGGCACCCTTATAATTGAAAAGGACCCTAAAAGGGACCCTACTATAGAGCATTACCCACATGAAGCTTCAACCCCTCAAAACCCTGAAGCCCCTCGCCTTGGCCACCTTGTCGCGCCACCGCTCCTCGGCTTCCGTCATGTACTCGATCCTGGCCGGGCTAAACCCTAAACCCTCGCCCCAAAACCCGAAACACACACCGCTTGAAAGGGGGGGGGGGGACATGTGCTCTGTCTTGGCGACTCCGGAGCAGTTCGGGCTCGAGGCCTGCGCGGTGTAGAGTTTAAGCTTTAGGCTTGAACATGTAGAACTGAAAGCTTGGAGTTTGTGGATGTAAAGCTTTGCGCTTCGGGTTAAAACTTCGGCTCATGAGGGTACTGTACGGGTGCGACAGTAAGGGTACTACAAGGAGTTTGTGTCATTTTGTGTGTGTGTGTCTAGGCTGTGCTTTTTAAACTAAATCAAGCCTGAGGGCCTGGATGCTGGAAACTGGACGGCCTCCGCCAAAACCCAAAATCCCTTACAGCGCCCTTACTTTAGTTCCCTTGTTGCATATTTTATGCTGAAAAGCATCTCAATCCGCCGGTGTCAATCCGCCTCAGAAATCCAAATCCAAAGCTCGTCGGAAAATCTGTCTACTGCTTTCTGCACGCGGCTTCTCGGGTTTCAGGGCTGCATTGAGGCGTTGAATATCTCTAACCCATACTTCTATCCTGGTGCTTCCTTGCCCATGGCATAAGGGCCGTGGGTTTTTTTTAGGGGTAGAGGATTTCAGGGGTCTAGAGTGTAGGGATTCAGGGCTTAGGGTCTTTGATTAGGATCTACAGAGCTCTGTGGGGTCACTCCTGTATCCTTGAACCTCGGCCTTCCGACTCTGGAGCACGGGGGGCCTACTGTTTGCTTCCACTCTGGTACAAGGATTTTTTGTAAAATACAACGGAGTCCATGCATGAGAGCCTCTAGTCCAAGCCCGAACCCCTGCACTTTCTCCTAAACCGCGTACAATCTAAGCGAGAATCGCAAAGGCCTGTCGGTTGCATCGTCGAGCTCTTCTTGCAGACGATCACGCTCTTCCTGACCGGACTTGCGCAGGAATTTCAAAACCGCCGTTTCTCAAGCATCCCAAGTCCTGAACAGTTTACGGCTTCAGGTGGTTTGGGTTTATCAAATGTCGGGGACCACGAAGAAGGCTCCGTAGTTATCATTCGGTAGATGAAGATAGGCTGCGGTTTTGTTTCAAAACTATTTCATGTTATGGAAACTTAAGGGCGCCGGGTCTCCCGGTAAGCCCCTGGCCCGGGATTTATAGTCTAGGCTTGGAGATGTTTCAGGGCTTTCCAGCCGGTCTCTGTACCGATTAGCCTGAAACTAACATGCCTAAGCCCGCTGGAATCCTGCAAGAACATGACACCACACTCATAGCTCATCACTCCAGTCGCCTTGCATCAGAAGCCTCAAACCCGATAATAATCACTTGCTGAAACCCTCGAACCCCAAACCTCAATGTTCGAAGGCACCGCCCGAAGACTGGCATGTTGTGGGCTAAGTGCTTACAAACCTCCGGATCAGGAACACTTTTTCGAGGCCTTAAACGTAAAACGCCCTTTCTTGCCGTGAAGTTTGGATTTTCCGGATTCAAGCGCAATAACAATTGAACCTTCAGAATAATACTAAGACCTAGTAATTGGTTTGCAGATCATTCCACCACCCAACCAGGGGCTAGGGCTTTTGGGGGTTTAGGTTTCGTGGATTTCAAGATGTTTACAACTTAGGGAAGCTTGGTTGGGTTTCTTTGTTGTGTTACTGCCGAATGTTGGTATGGGGTTTAGGGTTTAGTGGATACTGAAATCTCCAAGTCCCACCTGTAAACTTCGGTTTGGGGGCTGGGAGGTTCGAGGGTCGGGGTAAGACCCTAAACCCGAGAACCCTAAACTCTAAAACCCTGAAGGCTTTGAACTGGGAACGAGGCCACAAGATTCTTCGTCTGGTTTTCCAGCTCTTCAAGCTTCCGCTCCAACCTTAGCAATTATAGCAGACATCCGAGTCTATACTATCATCTATTACAGTATACCATAGCCTGCTACAGCAGAGATCAGTATGTTTTAGTACACTGTAGTATATTCACATTTCATATGTTAGTATAGCATAGAAATATAGTATAGGGTTATAGATGTTATAGTACATTACGGTACATTATGGTATAAAAGCGTGGGGATATAGGATGCTAAAGGTGTGGGGCTGCAAAGGGTTGGTTCGAGGGTTAAGGGTTGAGGGATCAAAGGCTTTGGGTCTAAGGGCGTAGGGATTTTAAGAGTTTAGGGCGTAGGGGTTTAGGGCTTTGGGTTGTTGAGGGTTCAAGGTTTAAGGATCTAGAATTTGGAGGTTCGGCTAGTGTGGGGATTTCTGGGTTTGAACGTTTCAGGTTTGGAGCTGTAGGTTATCAGGGCTAAGGGTTTTCGCGCCGTCTGAGGCGTTTTGAGGCTTTGAGAGCTGAGGGCTTAGGGCGTCAGGGCCCAGGGCTTCGGGCTGAGGGTCTAAGGAGTCTAAGGTGTATTTGCTCTCCCTGCGTGAGCTCCTTGCACGATGGCCAACCTAAACCCCGAAACCTCTAAAGCGAATTTGTTTAGGTGTTTAGATCTTGCAAGCTTCGTGACTGTTTTCTAGTGCCGTGAGCCCCGGTGCTGACCCGAAGTGAGGGGATCCAGATCCAGATCGTCCCAGTGCCTCTGTGTTTCGAGTAGTAGTCTTAAAGTGTAAACGTCTTATTCAGGACTGTACTACAAGCTGGGTTCTGAAGGGAAGCACACTGCATACCTGGGAAGAGCGGCAGAATGTCATGATGCTGCGGCTGCATCGCAAAGTGCTAGTTCGAGGCTCGGAGAAGCCAATAGAAATGTTGAGTCCAAACTCCAAACCCTAAACCCCAAACTCCAAACCCTATAAGCCCTAAACCCTAAACCAAGCTCGGCAACCCCTCGGCCGCCTGGGTCACCTGGGCCACCGGACTCCTGCCTCTGGTCTTCCACTTCCTGGCACAGGTCCCTTCCGTGGCTTCGGTGGTCTTGGTCTCTAGGAACAGCAAATGCTCATTTACGCTTTGGGAGCCAGGCAGGGCGGCGCAGCAGCCCCCAGATAAACCTCGCCCTTAAGGACGCGAAGTTGCCTGGAGCTGGTCGGCCAAGCGCTCGACGGTGTCACGGGAATCCTCTCGGACTCAGATTGTTCGGTGACTTGGGGTTTAGAGCTTCAGGGTTGAGGATTTAGGGAATTCCAGCACAGGGGTTTTAAGGCTTAGGGTGTGGGTTCATGGCATGGTTCAAGGCCAGTGGCGTTGACGTCGAAACGAAAGTGCTCTGCATGAACGTACAGAGCTGAGGCATGAGGAACGAAGAGGTCGAGCATCCCATATCCTACCCTGAACCCTTCGAAGAGTCAAAACAAGGAGACTCTCGAAAACGTCTTTTGCAAAACAGCTGCAGACCCCTACAGAAAGTAGACTTACCCTAAACCCTCATTCGCTCATGATTCTATAGCACTGAAGATGCCAGTGGTTCCATCTGGCTACAGGCATTCAGCCGGCCTGGTTACGGCAATTGGCCATTTGTATGACTGAGGATCCAGGGAACCAATGCATCTAAGGGTAATCCGGCGCTTCAGCAGGAAGTTGCTGCTTGATCCTTGTCGGGCTGATCGAGACCAGCCGCAAGCTGGGTTCTTGTTAAGGAATTTAGTCTAAGGTCTACTTTCATAGGGATCTTTAGCAAGCAATGTGGATTCCTTATCATGGTAAAGCTGAAAAGGAATGTCCAAACGGAGTCCAAACATCAACTTGAAACACCCCTGCGCTCGAAGGCCTCAACTGCCACTCCATCTGGTACCTAAGAGCCATTGAGACCTCCTAAACTCCATCATAATATAAGAGAACCTTAGCACAGTTGCCTCCCTGTAGCTCCTCAGCACATGAGCAAGGCAGGATGTGCAGGCTCCGAACGTCCCCGGGCTTCCCGGACCAAGGTGCATGTCGAGAAATGGTCGCTGAGGTGCAAGTTTGTGGAAGTGCATTGCAAAGACTGCAGCGAGCCTTGTCCATCTCATTTCATCTCTGCCCTCCTGTGCTCCCCCCATCACGGAGAGACACTCAGGCCGAATGTGCCGTTGCCAAGTACGCAGCTGTCTTGCAGCATGCCCCCGGGACGGCTTTCCACCTAAGGCTTGGCCAGTTGAATTCGAGACCCAGAAATTGCGATGCCCCGTAGCCCTAAAGCCCTTGGGGTTGAGGGTTAAGAGGGTCCCTGCATTGTATGAGGGATGGTAAAAAAGGGGCCCGAGGCCCGGAGTCCTCACTGCCAGCGCCCTGCTCCCTGGGCGATGACGGGGAAAGCATCGAGTTTGAACAACGGCGAGGGGGTCTGTATTGATCCCTTCGTCTGGGTGTGGGGTTTAGGGTTTTGCCCCGGTTTAGGGCTTAGCGTCAGGGTTCCTGAGTAAAGTTTGGGGTTGCAAGATTTGCTGTTTGAGCATGAGGGCTTCAGGCTTGGGGACATGGTTTAAGGATGATCAAGATTGAATCTAGTCTCGGTCAGAGGCTTTGTGATCATGAAACCCCGCCAGGATATCAGCTCCAAGCTCATAACTATACCCAGACCCCACTGCTGAAATCCAACCCTGGAAGCACTCCTGCTTGCCTCAGTTGGTGGTTCCGGGTAGCGGTTCCGGGGTTCGGGAATTTTTTTTCGCTTGGCCTTGGCCCTGAGATGTTGAGGCGTTCAGGCCTCCTGTCTAAACTCACTTCAGACGAAGCTCCTGAACCCCAAGGCTTAGCCCCGAGCCGGGTTTTCTGCCTTATAAAGGGTCCAAGCACTCATTGCTTGCCTTTGGCTGTAGGGTCGCTCAGCAGTGCCAAGTTCTCAAGAGCAACTGCAGCAGCAGTCCCATGGCTTGGGGTTCTGCATGAATTTTGGTTGTCCTGCCACATATTTCCTTGCATGCTTAAGACAAATCCTGCAAGAGTGGAATTTTACTAGGGGGCCCCGAGACGGCAGGACTGTGACCAACGACCCTCCAGTCTGAACCATTCCTCGCCGACACCTGCGAGTTGACATGCGTATTGCAGAAGGCCCTTCTCAAACAGCGTCGAAGGG